GATGGAGAGTGGCCTAGCGATAACATCCGCCAGCTCCCTCAGCACTCGTGGGTGCATCCCATCGGGGCCCATGGATTTATGGATGTCAAGTTTGGACAAAAGATCTCTAACCTGATCCTCCTCCACCAAGGGAGAGTCTTCCTTTCTCCAGACTTCCTCTCTTGTGCCCAGGGTCTGGGATTCCTGAGGACTGGCCTTAGCAGTAAAGACTGAAGCAAAGGCAGCATTCAATAACTCTGCTTTCTCTATATCCTTAGTTATCAGGGCACCCGCCCCATTCAGCAGCAGGCCCACGTTTTCCCTAGTCTTCCTTTTGCTATTGATGTATTTGAAGAACCCCTTCTTGTTGTCCTTGACATCCCTTGCCAGATTTAATTCCAAATGGGCCTTCCTTGTGTTGAAACAAAGCCATCCTTCAAACGACTGCAAGGTGCGAACAGACTTTCTTCCTCTCTTCCATCAAGTCCACCACATACGCACATGCCAGAGACCCAACTTGTGAGATACTTCACCTGAGTAATCAGTAAGAGCAAAGTACACACTATTTATCAGGATTTACCCTTTGTTAAATACCCCTTCCAGTGGGCCTTAGGATACAATCCATAACTGACTCCAACAGGATTGTTTTCCCTCCAGCACTGCCTTTAACATCACTCCAGCCAGTGACTTCAGCTGCCCTGGAGGCATGCTATTTACCCAAAGCTTCTTTATAACTGGGAAAAACTGCCATTTTTAGACCATGATTCCATCTGGCATCCCAGAAGTTCTCTTTGGATAGTTGTCTAGTCTAAACTGGTACTATAATTCCCAGGCTGGCAGGCAACATGAATCCTACAGTTGCAATCAGTTAATTTTCCAATCAGATAAAACAAAGAGGGATGAAATATGCACAGAGGCAGCAGGAAAGGAAAAGCATTAGAGAAGGCAGAAGACAGCAAAAGAACAGAAAACCCAACCAAAAACAACTTAACTTCTCACTAAAGGCAGAAGAACATGTGGTGCTGAAATAGGATGTGTCCAAGGAAACCATGACCAACTGATATTGTTGGGAGACTTGCCAGATACCTACAGAATGGTAGTACCCAGACAGCAGTCTACTGTGCACTTCCTGATGTCTAATATGGGATTGATCACACCCCATATCCTCCTACTCAATACACACCAATGGCATCTCTCATGCCCACTCGTTTTCACAGGTTTAAGAATTATTAGAAAGAAAGGACAAAACTAAAAGCATCCCCACATAAGTTTAGCTCGAGAGACAGAAGAGTGCCTCTCCAGGATGAAAGCAGGAAGACCGAGTTTGCTAGAAGAGGACTCAGCCAATACCTGGGTATAGGATCCTTCCAGTCCCCTCTCTTATTGGCTTTGTTTGCTCTTGAGAATTCATTTGCCCGAATGCTGCCAAACAAGCCAAAATGGACACGCAACCAGTTGTCCAGACCCCCTGCATCTGGAGCATCAGATCTGGAGTGTGGGAGTTCCTGCACTTCCTCTTCTGGAAGGCCTATTTGTGGAGCACAAACCTGCTCCTCTCCCTCCTGGGCAGGAGAACTTGCCCCACTATGAGCCACTCTTTGCAACGCTAGCTCTTCTGCAGTTCGTCCTAGCAGACCTCCAGCTGCCACAAATGCCAAGAACAAATTCTTCCCATGAACCTGAGAAAAGAGGTAGAACGTGCTGAGGATCCAGATAGTCACTTATATGAAAGCAGCCAGAGGTTATCTTCTTCAATCTCTCCTTTAGGCAGAGGGCACATCACACCACTCTAAACACAGAAGGATTCCCTAGGATCTGAGCCAGTCCCAGCAGAGCTGCAGTCACCCCCCACCCCCCTTAGCATCCCTTCTTTATCAGCATGAAGCAGAAGGTGTTCAAATGCAACTCCAGTGCAAAGCCCTCTCACAGACTTCCAACTGGCCCAAGAGACGCATCAGAAGAGAGGCTCAGGATTTCAGAATCTGTCATCAATGCCTCTCATTTCCTTCCTCACTTTGTGGGGCCCTGGAGTGTTTCAGGCTGAGGTGACCTAACCCAACAGGGGCTCTGAAGCCACAGGCTGGCCACAAGTGACTTCTTGAGCAGCTTATGTCTGTGTGCCCGGCTAAGACCATCATGTAATCAGAGATGAGGCTGCACCAGCACATGAACTGCACCTAGATTTCAGTGTTTCATCAGTCAAGTACAAGTCACCATCTGAGAGAGGTCAGGTGCTTCAAACCCCCACCAGGACTGTTCTCCCTTGGAGACACACAGCCCAGTGTGACTATCTCAGCCACAAGTGTCCACAGTGTAGGTATTTTAATTTAGCCAAGTGAAACTGTTCTTTGGTACAAGAGATGCAACGGTGCAAGTTCACAGCTGAGAGAAACAAGGCTGCTGCTCCCGACATCCACATAATGGAGAAACCAACTCTCCATCTCCTAAAAGCAGCCGTTGACATCACCAGCTCCTCTTCCCTTGAAGCACACACAACTAGTGCATAAGCACAATTGACCAAAACTCCAAATAGCTCTGGGAGCCCATGTGCCTAGCCACATCCCTGCCACAGCCTCTCCTTGCAAAGTTTAGGGTTAAGGTTACTGCTACACAGAGCAGTACCCCACAAGGGGCATTCACATCTCTGTGGCCACGTGCCCCTACATTGTGGTTATAAACGAAGCCTATGGTCCACCTCAAGCACAAGCCTGGTGTCGCTAAGGTTGTATACCACCCGCGATCCAGGTGCAAGGCAATGGTGTTTTCCCTCAGACCTACCACATAGCGATAAGGTTGTCTTTTATAGCTCACCCGAGAGTCCTGGAGCCTCAGCGCTTTCAGTTCACTCACATTGATCTTCCGACTGCTTCCCCCCACCTTTGTCACTACTTGTCCCACAAAAGGGGAGGTCAGCAGCTGGAACTTCTTCACCGATGGGCCCTCCGGCATCTCTGGCAGCTGTCAATAGAACGGCAGACGCTTCTCACGTTTGGCACCCTAAAACTGAAGGGACAAGCCAGTCATGTGGACGTGAGTTCAGGCTCTGAAAGGCTCAAAATAGTCCCTTCACCTCACTTCCCTTCAATCCCTGTGGCAAAGTCCATGGACAGAGACAGGCTCCTTTCAGGCCCAGGGCAGTAGAGGAACCTTTATCCTGAAGATATTCATGAGACTGAACAAAGCCCCAAGTAACCTGCCCTGATGTTAAAATTCACTGTTAAAATTCCTGCTTCAAGCAGGAATTTGGCCTGGGGCCCTCCAGAAGTCCTTTCCAAAGGAAGCTTCTCCAGCAGTTGGAAAGGCTCTTCAATTAGACTGTTCAGAAACTCTCCTCACCAGAAACAAGAGCTCATATGACTCCAAATCATCGTTCACAGCCTTAATGTCCCAGAATAATGTGGGAACACAACCTTATAGAGATGTTACTAAACCTGAACCAACTCAGGCCGCAGTCAACCATCATCTTCCTGATATAGCCGCACCACCAAGGAAAGCGCTGCTCCATGATTAGCCCTGGAGTTAGCTCATCCTCCTTGCTTCTTCAGCTGCTTGCTACAGTGCCACTGACTCTAACAGCATGAGGCAGATTACAGAGCATTTGTACGCTCTGCCAGCGACATCTAGGGTCAGCAGTCTCTGGCAAGAATGGCAGACAAAGTAGTGCCATTCCACAACACCCTGTAGCTCACTTACAGGAGTTATACCAGTACAAAGGTGTTATTTCTGGCCCAAGATCCCAGACATGTTACTTGCAGTTCTTTTGAAGAGATCTGCCAGGACCAGGTACACAAGACAGCACGCTCCAGGGTGTGAAGAATATGCTTTGGCTTTCACCCTGCAGTGGCAATTCCACAAGAAGATTGATCCCAGAAACCCAGCACTGACCACCAGCTCTGCTGCAGACTCCACAGTGCTCAGTACAAGGCTCCAAGCTACCTGGCACGGCTCTGAGACTGCTGTTCACCTTCATGTCAAGCTACCCTATGCAGAGGGTTCTACCAGAAGACACATTCCTACCTCATGCTAGCATCTCATCTTTTCTGCTGGCTGGGCTAACTCAGATACAGCAGCTCCCAGACGCTGATCCCTGAACTGCTACAGAAACACTCACGCCAAAGAAAGAACAGGGAAAAGAGGCAGCAGGCCAGGAACGGCCCATCAGCACAGAGTAACTGTAAAACCTGAGCCTTCAGCACTACCTGCTGCTGCCTCACCTCTCCAAGCCGCCCTTTGCCACAACAAAGGGACATCTTTGTTCACTGAAGCTCTCAGCAGAGACATTTAAGCAACCAGCAACCTCCATTCCAATTAGAACACAGCACTACAAACACCAGTGAGGTGTGGACATACCTGCAACAGGGGCAGACAAGACAGCACAGCTGTAAAAACCTTCCTGTGCTGCCACACACAGCAGTCACAGACCTGCCAAGAGCTCCAGCAGGAAAGCACACCAGGGAACAAACATTACCAGGATCCAAGATAGGAGCAACTAATATTACTTGTTTCATATAAGCTGGAAAAGGCTCAATGGAAGTAAAAGACCAAGCTTTATTCCTGTACTGCCCAGGTCATGGGATAGTTATATATAGGCCTATTCCAGTTTCACCCACATACGCTGCATTTTCAAAGGCTCCAAAGCCTTCGTTTTGCTACCATACATTATTCTAGGAAGATGTCTCAAGCCTTCCCAGACCACAGAGACACATTTCTCTATTCTGAGCTTCAGATTAGAGACATGTTGGGTTCAGACTTTAGTTCAGCCAGTAACAGATCAAGAGTCATCCAAAGAGGTATTTCTGCTGTCAAAAGTGCCATCAGCAACCTGGATCCCTGGGATCAACCAAGAGGTCTACCTACATCCCAGGCCTTCTGGGCCTTCCTCCTGGACTATTCTGGCACCGGCGTAATATTAGGGGGCACAAAGTGAGCCCCAGGACAGCTCATGCAGCTCAGAGTTCAGACTCCCACATTACCTGCAGAGCTGCACAGCTCTGATTGCCTCTCATTCAGTTCACAGAGGGCTGGTCCTCAGAGGATGCAAGTGCTTAGCACTTCCTAAGGTCTTAATGCACACATGCACACGTTGACCCAACTGCAGCCAGTTTGGCCAGAAGCGTAATGCTCTTAGCTCTCTAGTGAGAGGCCCTACCCCTTACCCCATGGCTTCAGAAAGAACAGTATCTATATTCCCTGGTCCCCCCTCATCTCTCCATGGACTAGCTGGAAGTATCTCCCGAGTTCATCTTTTCACTCACGGCCACTTCAGTCTCTTCTAAAAGAGCTGTCTCCCTCCTCCAAGGAGGATCACAGCTCCCAGTGCTCTGCAGGGCAAATCACTCCTTCTCCCTAAAGGGACCACCACTGTACCCTCAAGCCTGTCTTTGCTAGCCTCTTGGGCTACAAATCCAGCCCGCTGGGACCAGCCACGTGCAGCAGCAACAGGAGGCTGCCCCACAGCATTTCTATAGTCTTCTTAGCAATCAAGCCCTCTAGATGGGAGAATCAAAACAAACAAAAAACCCACAAAAACTAAAAAAAAAAAAAAACCCTGGTGGCCCCACCAGGAGATGGGGGAAACCCTCAGAGCTGTTATCTCCTATTACTATTGCCTGTTTCTATTCCAAGGCATAGACTACAGTTGGTCTCCAACCCCAAGCTGGCACCACCACAGGCACCAGGCTTCCAGAAGAAACCCTTCCCACATATACATTCATTTTGGTTGGGCTCCTTCAGTCCCTGCAGTCAAAGCCAAGCATCTGCACTCCACTGGGACATGCTCACACTCCGCACAAACCCTCCGCACAAGCATCCCACAAAACCGGTATCGCTCCCTCATCGAGCCAGCTTCTACAGGGGATAATAAACTACCAGGCTGCTGGGTTCCTCCACCTCAGCCCAGCTTTAACCCATGCCCTGAGCTGCCAGCTCACCTGCTTGGAGCAGCGCCGGTCCCACACCCCAGAGCGATGGGGATCAGCAGAGAGAGGGCAAACCCGGACCACCTGCGCCCCAGGAGAGCTTCACAACCCGGCGCGACGCTCCCGCGGCGATGTAAACACGCAGCCCGGACCCCCTCCACGTGCAATTAGGCAAGGGCTAATTGCAATTAGCAGTTGGGCAGCTCTACTCCCCACCCACCCCAGCTCCTCTCCCTACCCCCTCAGGGGAAGAAACACCCTACGAAAGGCATGTTCTTCCCAGTCTGCTCCGAGTCCCTGCTGTTACCTACCGAGGGGTTCTCGAGCCCCTGCAGCAC